CCCCAAAACCCCAAAACCCCAAAACCCCAAAACCCCAAAACCCCAAAACCCCGAGGTATAAAATTACATAGAATTAAATCACTATTTATCTAGCTAATTATAAACTCTCTCTTGATTTTTCTTCTTTCAAAGGTGAATCTGGCTTACTTTCGATTACAGCAGGATCATCTACCTTTTGGTTTGAATTAGGCTGATCTAAGGCTATAGATATAGCTTTAGAGTCTATATTATCAGACTTCCCTTCATCTTGCTCTGCATGAGATTGAGATTCTTCTTGCTTGGAAGGAGGAGCAGATTCCTCTTTAGATTCTTCTAATCCGATAGCTGAAGGCATCTCACTGTTGTCAGCTTTCTCTAATAAATCATTATTTTCTTCAATGTTAATCATTTCAGATTTATGTTTTGTCTCCCTATGCTTGGTTTCTTCCTTAGAAACCTCCAGATATTTTCTTTCCTTTACTAGAGCTTTTTGCTCGGGATTCAATGCAGAGGTGATTTCTAGGAATATCTCTCCTTCTTCCTTAGATAAATCATTTGGAACAATAACATTAGCAATTCGGTTTGCTCCCTCCTGAGTATTTATGACAGAAATATCCCCCATCATCTGGTTATTGGCTGAAATGTCTACCTTCTTCTCAATGAATTTCTTGTTGTTCACAGCTAAGGAAGGATGCTCAGATATATTCTCCGAATTATTGATGATGTCTCCATTCAGAATATTAGCCCAAACGTCATTGAATCCTTCCATATCTTCATTATTGCCTTCAGTGAGGATGAACCTGACTGAGTAATCTCAGAGGAAGCTTGGAGGCACTGTGAAATAGTCTATCGATTGGAGGTCAATGAAAATTCTAAATGAGTTGACAATTTGTAACCCCTCCAATCTTGATCACATCCTTCTCCAGAAGGATGGGAATTCAGGAGTCGAGATCAGAACCCAAGTACCGCTGGTAGCTCATCTTTCAATGATGTCTAGAGTCGCGTCTATTCCTTTCATCTTTGTCTCATCTTCAGTTTCATTTTCATTGGTTTTATACTTCATCGAGAAGCTCTGGGGAGGTTTCGTCTCAAGGATCACTGGCTTCTCAAAATGATCTTCATCTGTGTTCTTGGAAAGTAGCTTTGCTTGCACATCTAGAGGTCTTTCCTCAACAAGATTTGCCTTAATAGCCTGATTTGCTCTGTAGTTTTGATTAGTAAGAATTTGATTCACTATGTCTGTTCTAATAACTTCCAGTCCAACTCCATAGAATGAAGCGATTGAGCAAATGGTGTTAACAATATTGATTGACTCAGATGCTCTCATTGCAACAGGATATTGCCAAGAAGCTGTTTTGATGAATGAAGATAATTTCACTGGGTCTTCATTAAAGTCAAATATTGCTAAGAGCTCTTCATAAACCAGTTGGCACACTTTTGACCTAAACTCATCATCTGGGCATAAGAATCTTAGATTAATATCCTCCATCAGCGTTTGCCTATCTCCCTCATCTTTAAACAGGATGTTCATTATATCCTTATAAGTGGCAACATTGTCATCAATCTGATCAAAGAGAGCTCGATGTTTTGGATATAGCCTTGTAATATTTATTTTCAGCCTCATGTATTCAGCCTTATTTATTTTAGATGTGATCCTAACAAAAGTTGTCCCAGGCTTTCTCCAATCTTTATAATTCTCGAATTTGAGAATAGCTTCAAGGAAGAACTCAAGCTCGGCTCTATCTAAACTTCCTCTTTGGTTCCCAATCTCAAGTGAGAATAGCAAGTTCATTAGAGAGACATTTTCTGGGGAATATCCTGCTCAGATAACTGAGTAAATGCTTGGAAGGATTTCCTAAAATATCAGAGTGCTAACTTACTGAATAAAGGAAGTCAAATGAAAGCTCTTGTTTCTTCCCAATCAGCCTAATTTTTTCCTTGTAAACTACAAATTATCACCGATGAATACCTTCAATATGTTTATTTGACTTCTCGTTTTCACTTTCACCTTCATCAGCTTCCTCTTTCTCCTTCTTTGATTGCTCTCTCTTTTTCTACAGGATCGTGATGGAAAATACCTTTGTGACTATAGAGTCTACTATTTTGAGAAACATCTTCCAGGTGTAGACAGGCTCATCAGTGAGCTTACAGAGTGTTGTCATTGCTCTGTACATACAGCAGATATACCTAAAATTTAGATGTAAGACTTACTTAGAATAAGAGTTTAGCAAAGGGTCAGCTTCTATAATCCTCTGATATTCTCTCAAGGCTTTATCCAAATTAGCCTGAGTCTCCTTTATATTCTTTATGTTGTTCTTTAACTGCACAAAGGTGCTCATGTCATGTAAGGATCTCTACATTATTATAGAAGTACATTACAGCTAAGCAGAAAATGTTTTCAAAATTTGTCTGATAAGCTTCCAATTCATCCTTCAATTTTGGAATCAAGCGGTTTTGAAGATGGATAAAGTGCTCGTAAGAATTAACCTAAAATTTAAACCCAAAATTACTGCTTTTCCATCCTCGTCATCTATGGGCTCAGAGTAATGTTTCAAGAATCACCCCTTAACAGCGATCCAGTAATTAACTTGGCTGATTACATTGGCCTGGTCAGCTTTGTCCTTAGACTTTTTGACAACTTTGAATCAGTCAGGCTCGACCATGATTGGTGTGCATTTAGCTTCGTACTCATCTCCAAGAGTGAACTTGAAGTTATTCACAAATAAATTTGTTTGGAACACAGAAAGTCCTGAATCCATTATGGATATTTTCTTATTAACTTAAGTATATTAAAAGAAACTTACTTTGAGCTTTTACATCCTTCAAATTAGCTATATTGTAACATCCTAATTTATGCATCAGAGGGTTCCAGTGGCTTTTTAGAGATTTGATATACTTTGGACTACTTCCCTCAGGAACAGTAAGATTTGCATCATGGAGTCAGATTATATCTTCTTTAGGAGTGTGCTCAGTCCCAACTTGGCTGACACTTATCTGTGAATCATTTGGGTTTTTCATTTCTGCTAATTTATTTTCATCTTTAGGACTCCGGACCTCTTGTAGGTCATAACCATAGCTACCTCCAGAGAAAACTTTCTTGATAAACTCAGATAGAAGTCCTGAGGAGTCAAATCAGACTGGTGTGGTTGGGCTGAATATCAAACAGAACAGACTTTCTCAAAATACTGGATTCATTGAGAACAATTTCTCACTGTCAATACCTTCCTCTTCAGAGGAGTTACTGTTAAGGTTCACAAAACAAGATCTCATATTGCCAATATCGTCAAACATGGTTGTGTTCATCATTTTGTGAACACCATTGTCTTCTCAGATCTCTTTGAAGATCTTGCAATGCACTTCTGGATCTTCTGAGCTCCATTCTGGAGATGAGGGAATCTTGAAGCTGTTCAAAGTTTCCTTAAGGATCTTCCTAAACTCTATCTTTTTCCTCATAGAGAATATTCCTAAGTAAATCACTGAGTAAGAGAGAAGGATTGTGTCACCTAGAATTGTCCTAATCCTTGAGCGAGTATGATCCAATTTGTTAGCAGCAGTAGAGGAGATTGTTGTGATTGAAGATATTATCTGAGCAGACCTCACGTTTGAAATTTCTGTGGATGAAATCACTCCACTCAAATCATTCAGCAAAGCTTTGCAATTTGTAAGTTCTTTAGTTAAAGCCTCTTTTTGAGCCAGCGTCTCAGCCTCTCTTTTATCAATTGAGATTTCAGCTTCTGCAGTTTGAGCTTTTATGTCTTCTATTTTCTGGAGAGTACTCCCCATAGAATTTTTCAAATTCATTTTTCTGTAAATTTCAAGTAAATATCTGAAAAGATTCTTCATCAAAGGTCTTGATGAGAAATCAGGAGCAGAGTGCTTTATCACAAATTCCTTCAAAGCAGAGAATACTTGTTCTGGTTGATCTCTATCTTTCTTTGAGAGTAGAATCTTTCAAAGATGCGCACTATTGCTAAAGAGAATTTCAAGCTCTTGTCGATTCCTAAATCCAATCGCATCTTCATTAATGATTTTTCCGAAAGTTTTAATCAGGAAATCTTCAGATGAGCCGTATTTGGTGTTCTTAAGCCTAAACCTTTACAAAAATTTCTTACACAAACTCGTAGTCAGCCCCTGTAGTCTGTTCAATAACATGAACTATTTTCTTGATTCTTCTGTCTTTCTCTCTAAGGACTTTTTCCACTTCTTTCTCAAGCTCTGCCTGCTGCTTTTTCTTCTCAATATTGGTATTAATAGACACACGGATGTCATCAAGTTGGGAGTCAATCCTCGAGATCTGGTCTTGGAGATCAAGCAATTGTACTGTCACAGTGTGGTTTTTGGAATGGAGATCCTTCTTCCTCACAACAGTTGACTCGTAGAATTCAGAAAGGTCATTTGATTTCTCAACTAAGCTTTCATAGTAGTTGTTCCGCATCATCAGAGAGGTTGACATGAAGTCATGCATGAATTTAATCATTTCATGCAAGATCACAAATTTTGAATTGTAGTTGACCGACATTGGGACATCTAAGTATGGAGACACTTTTATATTCTTATTGATCAGCCCTGAAATCATTTCCAGCTTCATGTCTGAAGAAGGAATAACAGTTGAAGGAATTCCGGGAGCTACTTCTTCATCAGGGTCTTCTATAATTACCACCTTGTAGAAGTCAAGGATGCTATTATGAATCTTGGATTTCATGTCAATCATTATTTTGGCTAATTGCTTGTTTTTACGATCAATCTCTACCTCAGTGTCTTGATAACCTTCTTGGACTCCTTGAGGGATAGGGTTCTGCAGCTGCATTCTGGTGAAAGAGTCATAAGAAAGGTCGAACATGTTGAAATTAGTCTTATTGGTTGTCTCTATATCATCAGTAGTGAACAGGTGACTGTCCTCATTAACAATATCTTCTAAGAACATCACAGTCATTTTGGACTCAAGAGATGAGTATTTATTGATTTCTTTATAATCCTTTATGCTACTTGCATTAATGACTATGTGGAATTGACAGCCCAGCTTGGATATTGATAGGGTATAAAGCTCATTATCACTAAGATCACGGCTCTTTTCACTCTCATAGGTGTAAATACCCTTAGATTTTCCACTTGGACCTTTGGATAATGGCTCTAGAGGGTTTAAATTTTTAGAGCTTGGGAATTGCTGGAGCCTGGCTTTCATGTACTCTCTTTCAGCATTAATAAGTTGGTCGCAGAACTCTTTGTCGAACATTTCAATCGAATCTCTATCAAAAAGACTGATATAGTTATAAATATAATCCACATAGATTGGGTCATCCAGATGATTGGTGTCATAGAAGAACACAACGTCTTTGTCAGAGCTAACTGCTAGTAACATTGCTTCTCTTAATGAATTCTTAAACCCAACAAAATCAGAAGACATCATCACCTCAGGCTCGAATAGATACATATTTGGATGTATTAGTGTAGCTAATTGAAGGAGTTCTCTTCCGCAAACTCTTGGAGCACCAACTAAGAATAAGTGACTGTCCTTGACTATGGAAGATTTATACCTAGAACTAGGCTCATACTTTTTATAAATCTTATCGGATGGAGAATTCAGATTTCCATTTTGGAAGTTTTTACCTTTGCTTCTTGTGACCAATAATCTTGCAATTTTGTAGACTTGCCTTAAGATCCCAGGTGATTCTAGATAAGCCTGGAGATAGCCACAAGATTTTTCTGTATCAAGCTTCAGTCCTTTACAAAGGTCTTTTGACATTGATTTAAATTCATCCTTTGAGTACTTCTTATACACAAAACTACTCTGCTGTTTATGAAGCTCATGGAAGTTTCCATACACATATGATTTTATCTTGTTCGGGGAAATACTTGGAATCAAGAAATTGTGTTTGCAAATCTCTTGAATCTTCAACAAGAAGTTGTTCTTAATGCTCGGGAACATAATTCTATCAGCAAAGGTACTAGCAAGTTCAAATGCAAGAATCTGGGCTACCACCATCTCCTCCTTCTCATCTACTGTGGCATCGTCGTTGATCATCAGGGTGAAATTACTAAAATTGTAGAGAAACTTGACAAAATTATGGAAGTTATAGATCTTGAGGTCTTGTGTACAAGAGAACTCTTCCTCCTTCTGCATCTTTTCCTTTATTGACATTAAGCTATTGGTAATCAGAATATAGAATCTATAGGCTATTATTCATTTTCTTACTTGTTCACCAACTTAGAAGTGTTCCAACTGCGATTTGTTAACCAATTCTGAATGAAAATCCTGAATCTGTCATTATCAAGCTCATCGAAATAAATCGTGTTGATATAGTAGCTTAGTCGAGAAACTTTGTTCTTGTTTTTCCGGGCAGATGGGTTTACTGAACACATAAACCTGAGTTCTTCAAAATTAGCGAAATGTCCATTCTCAAGGTGATAGTATCCTCCGTAGATATCCCACATCCTGAAGAATTCACTGAAACTTGAGTTTGTATTATCTTCTAGATGAAGATCATCGATGATAAACAGAGGCTTGAGGGAATCAATTGGGGTCATGATGAACCTGTTTTCACTTGTTTTATAAAACTGCTCATACACTTTTCTACTCTTCTCAATAGTGTTAGAAATAGTCATTGGAATCCAGATCGATCTATATTCTCTCTTCAGCTTATGTGATATGTTTGTGAGAACTGTAGTCTTTTGACAAGCAGATTTTCCTTCAATTTGGATGTTATAGTTCCTGTTGGTCATTAAAATATCAAAAAGAAGCATTCCTTGAGACATTTCAAGAGATGGGATAATTATTTGATTATTCTTTGATTGATAGCCTTCAGATACTCTTGTCCCAATTCTCTCAGCTACAAGATCCCATTGAAGCCTTTCTAGATCAAAATACATTTCAAAGAGTGATACTTTAGTATTTTTGCTCAAACCAAGTCCTCCAGAAGTTAAGCTTCCACTGAGATTTAGGTCAAATTTCCTTCTATATTGTAGGAAGGTATCCTCAAATCTTCTCCTCATATCCTGGTTTAGAATTGCTCCAAAGGTCCACACTAAAGACATCAGGCATAAGTTAAGAGAGATAGATTCTCCTTTAGTCTTAATCGGAAGGAATATTGGATCGTCTCTTTTACTTAAATCTCTCTCAGTTTGCACCATATTAGCCAATAAACCATCAAGGAACTTGAATAACCTCACTGTTAGACTTTTCATCCTCCAGAAATCAGCGGTTTTTAGCTTTGTCTCGCATAGTTTTCCAATGAAAGGAACCACAAAGTCTTTGAAAGCTGCTTCAAAGTGACCATATAGCTCAAAATCAACAAAGGGCTTCTTCTTTAGCATCTTGATCACCTTAGCTTTCTCCTTAGAGAAAAGTTCCTTCCATTTGAGAGTATTTTCTTCAGTGTAGACTAGCATTGTTGATGAAATGAAGGTAGGGGATGCATCCCGGATGGTATCTCATTCAAACATCATCAATATATCTCTCGGCAACCTTGCTGAAGCTCCATTAGGGAAGCTCAGTTGGATATCATTCTTTAGCTCAAATCTCTTCAAATCATTCTCAACTCACGAAGAGAACAGATTTGACATGTAGCTGGATTCGTTAATATAATTCACCAATCAATCTGACCAGAGAGGGTTGATTGCAGATGATTCAAAGAGGAAGGTTTTCAGCATCTTTGGGCTTTCTGGCGCCTCTTCAGATTGACTTTCTTGGCTTGAGACTTCAATATGCTTCTCTATTTCTTCTTCATCAGAGGAAATCCCTTTATCTATAGATTCAGATTATCAATATACCTTTTGTTTCTGTGATCAATTCAAATCCTTTAGTGGCAATTTCTAACACAGTTTTAGAAATACTTGAGATTTTGACATCTTTGTTTGTAGAAATCTCTGGGTTCATCACTCCTGACTCAGCAGTCCCATATAGCTTCTCCATATTGTAAACATCTGGGCTCAGGATAGAGATTCTCATGTCAACATTAATCTCTGAGTTCTTTAGCAGATATCCAAGGCCTTTAATAATGCTGGTCTTGCCTGTACATCTAGGTCCTGAAACTACAATACCCTTGTTGTGCTTCAGAGCTTCGACAATAGAGATTATCTTGCCTTTGAGGATCATATTATGAGAATTGCTTTCTTCTTTCATGAAATTGTTTAGAATCTTCAGATAGTCCATTCTTTTCTCATCAATATCATCTTCATCTGGGATAAACTTGTTTTCTTCTTCCAGGTCTTCCTCTTTAATTTCTTCTTTTGATTCCTCGTTTTTGGAAAATGAGATATCATTATTGCTGACAAGGTCTTCATTAGAGTGATGTCCACAGTTCTCTTTGGCTTCTGTAATGCAGAATTCAAATTTTTCATCAGGATCACCATCCATTCCCATATATTTGCACAGGAATTCTCCCTTATAGCGACTGCTGGTCCAGGTTGCCAAAGCCTCTTTAATGGCATAGACTTCGATCTGTTTGCGAATCTCTGCTTGCTTGATTTTCAATTCTCTCTCAAAGAGGGCATAGCCTCCTTTAGAATGTTGGTTGGGTGTGTTCTTAGACTTTTCTTGAGCCTCTCCAAATTCTAGCTTCAGAGGTACAAAGTCTTCATCAAGGTATTTCAATGCATTTCCTCTGGCGAGCTTGCATATTGTCCAGTATTCTCTGTAGGTAGGAATAATCTTCATTTCTGAATTTTCTGCGAAGATTTTCAAGAAATTTATAATTATGGCTTTCAGATTAGAGCAATTTTCTCTGAATCCTTCATTGCTAAGAAGAGTCTCGAGAAGTACAGGGTAGTCAGGAATGACCATACCCATCACTCTGAAGCTACTTTGGGATGCCGAGGCATATCTTTTGTACTGAGGTGACTCGTTTAGAATAAATTGGCTCTTAAAGCTTGCGAAAATAGCAAAACTGACCTTATTAACTCCAAAACCTCTTGAATATGGGACTGGAAGCTCATCGTTCTCATTTATATCAATGTTTTTGTTATCTTGGGGGAAATTTTGAGGAACCTCTAGCTCATCTTGAGCTTTTTCAAACTGCTTTTGGACTAATATAGAATCCTGTTCTGAAGAATTTTCAGAGTCATTGGTCAGTTCAGAGATGATAAATTGCTGCTGAACCATTTGTAGCTCTTTGACAAAAGCTCTAAATTCTGTGAAATTCAGTCGACACAAATGCTCGAAGTTAACCCAACAGTTTGTCAAGGCAGCTGCATTTAGGAATTTCATACAAAGCTTTAATTGTGAAGTTGATGGCTATAGATTAATGAAATAAACTTTACGTTATCACTCAGACTTAGAGAATGGAAACCAACTGTGCAGATGCTTGCATATTCCTCAAAAATCTCACTTGCTCTACTTTGGGAGGGGATTGTTCTAAATATAACAGCAGACTTTTCTCTCAAAGCAGCACTTCAAAAGACAAAATATCTATTTGTAAGAGGAGTCATTGGAACCCTGATCTTTGATCCAAGATATTCATTTCCTTGGTATGAGGACCAACCTCCTCACTCAACCTTACATGCTGGCTCGGATGCATTCCAGGTAAGTCTCATCTGCTTTTGCCAGTCATAACTTTCGTAATCATCAATTCCCTTTTGCCTCAAATCCATCACAACATCTCTCATATAACTAAGGAAGCAGATGATTGTCTTCATAATCATGACATGAGTCTTATCAAGCTTAAGTCCACAACCAGCCTTCTTTGTATGGAGTCTTTTATAAATTTGATTTATCCAGAACTGCAATCTCAGATAAAGTCCTTGGAAACTCTTTTCCTGTAATGCTTTCATTGCTTCATCTTTAAATGGTTGAACTTTGAGAGTTTTAGAGTTAACAACTCCCTCTGTAAGTTTAGTGATATCAAAGTTTCAACCAAACATGTCCGTAACATATTGATCCCTCTCTTCCTGTTGTTTAAGAAGAATCTCTTTTTGTTTAGCTTCTTCCTCTTTCTTTCTCAACAAGGTAAGCCTTCCTACAACAGGAGTTGGTCCTTGAGATTTGTCAACTATGGATTCTTCTTTCTTTTTCTCCTCTAAAAATTATGCTTGATGCATACCTTCTTTGTTGCCTTCACCTTCTGCTTCTTCAGCTTCTGATTTCTCACTCTCTCCTTCGCCTTCTTGGTGCTCGCTTTCTTTATCTTCTTCATCTTCGTTTTCTTCTTCTATCTTACCTTCTTCTTGATTCTGATGGGCAGGGTGAACACTCTCTGTTGCCTTACTCATGTCCTGTAGCTGGTGGTTACTTCTTGTGTTGAGGTTACTAGTTTCATTGATGCCTAGCGTATCAGTCATTCCACTTTGGGATACTGTGGGTTCTTCAGTACCTCTCGCTAGTCTCATTTCATGAAGCATCTCATTAATTTCATGCGTCATAATCAGATGGATAGTAGATAAAATAGTTTGTTGAGGGTAATCAACAATCCATTCATCCAAAGGCTGCTTTGGGAATGAGCTTACTGCATTTCCTATGAGCTTTCCTATAGTTTCATGAGCGCAGAATTCTGTTTTGAGAAGCCACACTTCTGGTTTCGTATTATATGCAACAGATCTATTGAATAATAGCAAATCAGATTGATGAGAGATCATTCCTAAAATGTTATCTTTACTGTCCTCAGTATCCACTGGAAGATGCCCTAATTTGTTAAATTCTTCATCAGTAGGTCCTTCTTGAAAATTTCCTTGGCTGACTGCTGACATCAACAAAGATGCTGCTCCAGGGAAGATCTTGTCAATAAATTTATCCAAATTCTGCCTTGCTCCAGCTCTCACAATGAACTCTAAAAAGTCTCAGTCAGTGAGGAAGAAGAATCTTGGATACTTGAGCCTTCTATCTTCTAAATAATCATCAACTATTTTCTTGATTTTCGTGAAATAAGTTATCAAGCTGTTAAATATTTCGATTCTATTGTTCACCACAAGATTATACACAGCTTTTGGATTAACATAAGCAGAGAAATAGATTTTGTTCATTGAATCTTGCAATTCAAGAAATTTAGAGTATTCTTGTGGCAATGCTTTCTGAATTTCACTGCTTCCGAATATTGGATCAAGATACATCCAGTTATTTTGTGCTTCAATCCATTTCTCAAGGTTGTCTCTCATTATTATCAAATTTTTCATCCACTCCTCAATCTTCTCCTTGACATGAGATGCATTTCTTGAGCTAAGAATATTCTCAAGTGTTGTTAGGTTATCCTCAATTTTATCAAAGGTAACATCAATATTGGAGAGAACAAAAGTTTCGCTTTCCGGAATGTAGGGAATAATCTTTAGTTTCATGTGATCCCACTCCTTCTCAATCTTCGAGATAATGGTCTCATATTTCATCTCAATATCAGCTTGCCCGATTACTTTTCCAATTTCATCCATGTAGTTCTCAATATGGACCTCTCTCAAGTTGATAATTGTAAATTTAGCTGAGTTCTTCAAGTGAGGAGCCTTAATAATACTAAAGATCTGACCCCAATGCCTCCCCTTCAAGCTAGGCTTCTTACAGTTCTTCAAGAAATTGATCAAAGTGCTGGTCTCTTTTGCTTGGTTCAAGACTATTTGACCAAGAACCTTACTCTTCTCTTTCAAAAGGGGATATTTGCTAACTTTCTCTTCGAAATATCTGGTTGTTTTCTTGATAGATCTAATGATCTTGTCAATATCTAGCTCAAGAAATGGCGTTGTCCAGCACATCTCTCTTCTCTTCCTCCAATAAAGAATCATTTTCCAGAGGTTAATAGTCTGAATATGAAGTTCATGCAGCTTCTCAAAGTTTTTAGAGGACTCTAACTCTACTTTTCTGTTGAAGAACTCTTTGTAGAGAATAACTTTAGATTTAATCTCTTGAATAGCCTTAGACCTTTTGAATAGCTCCTCAAGAGTTTGGTGGCATTCATCGATTCTTGATCTATCCTGGAGATATGTTTCAATGTACTTCTTCTGGAAAGCTCTAATCTTCTTGGAAAGTGTATCTGAAGAAGTATGGATAATTGTCTCAATAGATACTTGTTTAGCCTTTAAAGCTTCCTCAGCTTCAGCTAATTTGGTTGGTAATTTCTCATACAGCTCTTTTACTCTCTCAATATCTTCTTGTAAAGCAACTGTAATCTTGATATTGTCTTGTCTGCAGAGTTCATTGAGATTGTCAATAGACTGGAACTTTTGAGTGAACTCTGGCATTTTGAATGAAATATATTTACACATATTGATCTGCTCCAGATAGATATTGATCGAAGATGGAGTTTGCTCCAAAGTCTCAACCACTTTATAGAGATCATCCTTCAAAGCTCTTGTATCTTTTTCCATAGTGCTAGCTACGTTATATCTAATAGAGTCAATGACCATTTTAGGAAGCTCATTAAGATAGTTCTTAAATCCTAAAGTCTCTATCAAGATAGTCCCTCTTCTGTTTGAATAAGTAGGAATTCTGGAGATAATTTTTTCATGAACTTTAATTTTCTCCCAAGTCTCTTTGTAGAAGTTCATCTCTGGGCTAATAGAATTGATCTTTCTCTTCCACTCTTCGGAAAAATCATGAATTTCTTGTGTTTCTTGGAAATTGATGACGAACTCTCTGCTCTCACTAATATCATGCTTCACTCTTGAAAGAATCCTAGTGATAAAATCTAATGTCTTAGGCTCATCAGAATCTTTTCTTTTTGAGTTGGAAAACATTTTCTCTTCTTCTGGTTTCCATTTCTCAAAGTCCAAATCTAGTTTGTGGTATTCAATTTCTAGATTTTCCTTACTAATTCTTGAAACATGTTCTTTCCAAGGGAAAATGTCCACCTGACCTTTCTTATTGACTCCACGAAGGAAGTACATTTCATTTATAAATTCATAGAATTCATTGATAGTTGGATTCTTCAAAATACCTCTATCAACAGAGTTAAAAAGTCTTGTGAAACTAGCAAAGTGCTCTTCAAATGTAGGGGTCACATTAACCTTGCCTTTCTTATCAAATCAAACAGAGAGTTCAAACTGAGGAGATATAGTAGGGTCAAGTAACACCTCTGTAAAATCTTTCTTATTTTCGAACAATACCTGAGCTAGGTTTGAAGAGACATATCTATTAACATATGCAATAAGGTTGTCAAACATTGTGTGTCTGGTTTTAGATACTTTCATTTTCTCTCCTTCTTGCTCTCTCCTCTTTCGTGCTTTAGTAAATACAATGTGATCTTCATATTTACTCTTTTTGAGGATTTCCAGCTCTTGCCACTTCCTCCTCTCCTCATCAAGCAGAGTATCATCTTTAAGAATAGTGTCCTTCAGTTGCTTTAGGATCATTTTAATCCTATAAAGAATCTTGGAAAGGTCCACTTGACTTCTGAGAATATCTACTCTTTCTGTCTTCTCAATGAGACTTTGTTGCTTCCTGGCAAAAATTGTACTTTTCTTTATCTCCAAAAATCTTAAATCCTTAATGTCATTGATCGCATGGTTGATCATAGCATATCCTTGAGCAAATTGAGGTTTAGAGAAAACCAGATTTCTGCACAACGCTTCTCTCTTCCTCTGATACTTTTTGTACTGTGCAGAATACTTCCACTGCTTGAAGGTTTTAAGCAGAGCGAATTTGCTAAAGATTGGGAGATTTGCATAGATTTGTTTGTTCATTCCATCCCTAACAAGTGCATCATGAGAGATGTAATCAGAAGGAATCCCTCTACCTTTGCCAACCATGATGAGTCCTTGCTTTGAGAATACAGTAGTACCTTCATGATTTAAAGGAGCATTCATTTCTTCCTTAAACAACTTCTTCCCATACTCAATGTCTTGGTCAGTAACCTTCTTGACAGGAATGAAAATTTTGCCAGCTATATTAGAGTTTGAGATTTTCTCAATTTAGGTGAACAGAAATCTTTTAAACCAATAGGGGTAGCGAGCAAAATAGTATTTTATACTTCTTATCTTATCATTTGTACGTTAAAACCAGGAATCATTAAAAGCTTATGAAAATATTAGACAAACCTCAAAAATATCCAAACTGTGGTTGAGAAATTATGTTCACTCAAAAATCTGCTGATTATTTTTAAACTTGGGATAAATTCAAACTTGTCAAAATTTAAAATTTAGATAAGAGATTTACTCATGTTAGCTTGGTTCATAAGGTCACAGAGATTCTGAGTTGTCTTGTTGTCATATCTTTCCTGAATCTCAGAATTCTCTGACATCAGCATATCTGCATTCTCCTTTCTCTGAGAAGATGTGCTAAGATCACGAGCCTTATTTGCTCTGAAAAAGATCATTTATATCTCTATCAGATATCTCTTCGTTCTTGGATTCAGAAATGGGAACTCTCCGAAGATCAGAATTTGGTTGATGAGAAGGTTGAATTGGCTCTAACTTAGCAGTTCTTGGATGATGTGACTGGTTTAAGTCCATGCCTCCTTGTGTGAGAAATGGAGCAGGCTGATTAGGCCTATTCTTCTCTTCTTCATCTTCATGAAATCCAGGCCCAATAACAATACTCTGGATGCCTAGAGAAGTAGGCGCCATTGTATTATTGAACTTATTTTCTTTTATCTACACTGACAATGACCTTCTTCATTCTGTTTTGGAAAACTGAGATCTTGTTATTTCCTCTTCCTCTCTTAACTCTGGAAGAGTATTTTGAATACTTGGTAGATGAACTCATTTGGCCAATATTTGTATTCTATAGCAAAGATTTAGAGTCAGTAATTTTAGTGAAGAGGTTTAAATAATATCTCCTTACGTTAAATTGCTCATTCATGTTGACATTCCTCATATTCAATGGGGGTAATTGAACCTAAAATATCAAAGAAAAAGTTTACTCCTGGTCTGTTGCTTTTATTTCCTGACATTCTGGCCTGGTTGGGAGCTCTGTGCTATGGATATGGTTATTATGCTAGTAATGAAGATCTTTTGAAAATCTGATTTTCGGATATTATAACTTGACTTACTGCAGTGCTTCTTCCTCTTCCTCGATGCTGTTACATTGTTAAAATAGAAAATTAAATAAAATCTTAAACATATGTTGCAAAAAGCTATCCAATTTTAATCCTTTCACACTCATTCTTAACCCTCATTAATATAATCATTCTAACTTCCTCTGTCAAAATCCGCTCTTAAAAATCTCAATCCCCTGAAACCCTATCCTAAAGATTTCAACCCTTCTTTTCACCCTTCATTCCTTTACCTCTTCCATTTTAAATAAAATTATAATTCAAATTTATAAAATTTATTAGGGGTTTTGGGGTTTTGGGGTTTTGGGGTTTTGGGGTTTTGGGG